AGGGATAGATATTTATTAAAAAATAATCAACAGGTAGTCAGGGATAGATATTTATTAAAAAATAATCAACAGGTAGTCAGGGATAGATATTTATTAAAAAATAATCAACAGGTAGTCAGGGATAGATATTTATTAAAAAATAATCAACAGGTAGTCAGGGATAGATATTTATTAAAAAATAATCAACAGGTAGTCAGGGATAGATATTTATTAAAAAATAATCAACAGGTAGTCAGGGATAGATATTTATCAAAAAATAATCAACAGGTAGTCAGGGATAGATATTTATTAAAAAATAATCAACCTACCAATCAAATGAATAAGCAAATGATTGCACAAATGAATGAACAAATTAATTAACTAGTGAATGCACAAATGAATAAACATATTAATGAGCAAATTAATGAGCAAATTAATGCACAAATTAATGAACAAATGAATGCACAAATGAATGAACAAATGTATGAACAAATGTATGAACAAATTTATGCGCAAATGAATGAATGGATGAATGAATAAATGTAAGAGCAAATGAATGAACAAATTTTTAAAACTAAATTTTTTTATTTTCCGTTAGGTTATTTGTTTTAACAATATTGTTGCAGATTATATATTATATATCACATGTTTTTATGTACGGAAATATGATTATATTTGAGCTATATTAAATAGCGAATAAGTTAAAATAACAAATAGCTAATATTAATTAGCAATTGGAATCTAGTGAATGTAAAGTAGAAACTTGAAGAGTAAAGACGACATTTTCAGCCTTTCAACATATATCTGCTCGAAATCAGCGATGACATTTATCAAGAGACTCAATTGATCTAAGTCATATAATTAACAAATTAATTCACAAATGAATGAACAAGTGAATGAACAAATGAATGCAAGATGAATGCAAAAATGAATGGAAAAATGAATTCACAAATGAATGCACTAATGAATGCACAAATGAATGCACAAATGAATGCAGAAATGAATAAACAAAAGGATAAACAAAAGAATGAACAAATGAATGAACAAATGAATGAGCAAATGAATGAGCAAATTAATGAATAAATGAAAAAAAAAACAAATAAGTCAACTAACAAATGGACAAATGATGGATTAAAAGAATGATTAAATTAATTATCAAATGAACAGATGAATTAAAAAGAAAAAATAAGAACAATAAGACATTTGAATTTAAGTAATAATGAATTATTAAAATAATAATATAAGGCTTGGCAAATAATATAAAATTCTAGTTCTCAAGTTAAAAGTCCAATAAATATAGTTTCTCAGAATAAAACTCATATATGTAGGATAAATATTAGTAGATAAGAATATTAGAATCTTGAGTACTTCTGTAGGAACACTTGCAGAGTCTCATGCTTCGTGAATCAACCTGAACAATAGTCATATAAAGATCTTTAGATCTTACAGACACTAAGGGGGTAGTGAACCATCGCAGGGTAGTGTCTCCAATCTCCATGCATGGCACCGGGCGGTTTATATCATCACACCGGAACTGGATTCTCATCGATATAAAATAAACCTTTGTTTTGTCAGGATCCAGCACCCCTAGGGAAGATACAACTCTTCTTGCAAGGATGAAGGATATAAAGGTTAGTTTTTTAATTATAAAATTTAATTATTTATTTATATTTTTTTGTGTTCAAAGCCCTTTTTGTAATTGTTAAAAAGGGATAGGTTCACAGTATTCGCTGTTAAAAATGGTCTAAAAAGCTTTTTCAGCAGTCGTGGTGCATATTTTGAAGAACTCCGCCACCTCGACTCTATGGGGTCCACATTGGGGCCTCATGCAGATTTCACTTCCTTATATTTAACAAAGAATTGTATTTTGAGACAATATATACTCCTGGCTCAATTATTTAACACAGCTTTGTATTTTGAGACAATATATACTCCTGGCTCAATTATTTAACACAGCTTTGGATTTTGAGACAATATATACTCCTGGCTCAATTATTTAACACAGCTTTGTATTTTGAGACAATATATACTCCTGGCTCAATTATTTATCAAAGCTTTGTATTTTGAGACAATATAATACTCCTGGCTCAATTATTTGACAAAGCTTTGTATTTCAGGAGAAGACTCTGAGTTTAAAATCTTTAGAAAAAAACATGGAAGGGGGGAGGAAATCCAATACTTCAATAGAAACAGGTAATGGGGAGGAAATCCAATACTTCAATAGAAACAGGTAACGGGGAGGAAATCCAATACTTCAATAGAAACAGGTAATGGGGAGGAAATCCAATACTTCAATAGAAACAGGTAACGTGGAGGAAATCCAATACTTTAATAGAAACAGGTAACGGGGAGGAAATCCAATACTTCAATAGAAACAGGTAATGGGAGAGGAAATCCAATACTTCAATAGAAACAGGTAATGGGGGAGGAAATCCAATACTTCAATAGAAACAGGTAAGAAGAGAGGAAATCCAATATTTTAAAAGAAGAGGTAAAAGGGAGGAGAAAATCCAATACTTTGTAGAAACAGGTAAGAAGGGTGGAAATCCAATAAAATCAGGTAAGGGAGAACGACTATCAGACTCAAGTAATGATTTTATATAGTTCAATCAACATTAAACACAGAAATTGTGCAGTGTACGCAGACCCATTTCACTTAAATTTATTTTTAAGGTTTTGGTAAAACTATGTGTTTTTTTATAAAAGATAAAATCGTTTTAATAACGTTTTCCTAATCCATTGTAGGGAGAGAGAGAGAACAGGAAAATAAACTAAGAAAATAATTTTATAAGATTATAAATAATTTTTTTTAGGAAGTACTATGCTGTCGTCTGGGGAAACTGGTTCCACAGTGGGCTATTCGTCTGAATCCGGGGGACATTATACTGATAGTATTTCCACACTGAGCTCGGAGGGGGAGATAACACCCACACGAAACGCTAATAAAGGTAAACTGTTAAGTTTATAATTTTGAGATCAGCTTTTTAAGAAATAATTATTCAGTTGTTCGTGCCGTGTCCTGCAGCCGCCCTTCCGCTCCTCCCCCGCCTCCGCCTAGTTCTCAACCATCCGCAATGAATCCGCCACCTCCTAGTTCCTCAGTATCCGCCACACCCGTGAAGAGATCTGGACCGCCGCGACCCCCAACACGGAACCCGGAAACTCGGATTTCTAGCCGGCCTTCGTCAATTGATAATATTTCTAAAATCGGCGACGAAAAATCGAATGCAGAAATCGGTGATGAAACGCCTCTAGCTGACAAACCAGCGGAAATACCCAAAACGGGATTTGACTTCTTGGACGAATGGTAGTCCGATAAATCGTCCATAAAGCCCAGTATGGAAATCCTACAATCGTCTGTTTAGCCGTTTAAACGATGCTAATCGAGTTTCTCTTTACTTAAAATAAAATGGCCTGTGTATCGTCCTGTAGTCTAAATTCTAATATTACGCAACAATGCGGCATTATATTTTTCCAATTACGTCATCTGATGTTATGATCGGGCATTAATGAAACCAAAGAACGAATAATTGAGAAAACAAATGGATTCCCGGGATGGCATAAATAAATTTTTGTTAAATTTTGTCGCTTTGTATTTTCTTAATGTTGAGCACTTACTCCCTCTGTACACGTGTACGTACATAGATATATTTATTTATTATTGTTTGTGTCTACCATTAGTTTAATACAGTGATAACCAGAAAACTCTGAACTATGAAGAAGACTCTTTAAGTTATAACTTTAAGGTATAACTTTAAAAAGTTTTATGAAATTTAACGCAGCAATTGTTCACTGTGTAGTGTAAACCAATCCATTTCACTAAATTAGAGATTTAATAAGTGTAGTAAAACCATTTTCTTTGTAACAACATCAAATACTCTTTCATGTCGTTTTCCTATTCCATTGTGTTCTGTTCATCACTGTTTGTCTGTACAATGTACAGAGTACAGAGTATCCCAATAAATGTGAGCATTAAGTGACGATTTTTGCGCAGCATTTTTTTCGCAAGCACAATTTTTTCTCCTGAAACAAACAACATTGAAACTTGTTTTTGTATCTTATACAGAGATGTTTATATGAAAGGTTTACCAGAGTTAAAGGAACTGTAAGCGTACAGTTCCAGTTAAATGAACTTGTACAGTCCCTTTAAACTTTCAAAATAAAATCTAAATTGTCAAAATATCTAATGAAAGTACAGTACAGTACAGTACAGTACAGTACAGTACAGTACAGTACAGTACAGTACAGTACAGTACAGTACAGTACAGTACAGTACCTTCAAAGGACGATATTGTTAATTTATTAAAACAACGACGATACACAATATTGTCAAAAGCATTGAAAAGCTCACAACACTTAACATTTAAAATCTTCAAATCAAAGACAATATTCCGTCTTTTAGTTCTCATGTTTATTGGGACACCCTGTATATTGTATATAGTTTATTATTAAAGGAGATAAAAATGTTAAGGTTTTTAAACCCCTCATGATTATTTCTAAAGTTCAATCAGTCACTGTACAGTACAGTACAGTTCAGTAAAGTACAGTGCAGTACAGTACAGTATAGTACAGTACAGTACAGTACAGTACCAGTACAGTACAGAACCAGTAACCAAAGATCCATAGTAACATGAGAGAAATATTTTTAAGGTTAAATTATCAAACAGTACAGTACAGTACAGTACAGTACAGTACAGTACAGTACAGTACAGTACAGTACAGTACAGTACAGTACAGTACAGTACAGTACAGTACAGTACAGTACAGTACAGTACAGNGAAGGACAAGCCGGTGGGGGGATGTTTTGGAAAACATTAACTTTTGTAAACTTTACTAATCACTAACCTATTCAAGTCAAAGTTAAGTCAAGTTAAACTTTTGTTATTTTTGTAAGTTTTCATCAATTTCAGAAATACAGAAACGAGAATGCATCATAAGCCAAACATTTCAGGTATTCAAGTAATAATTGTTTATCTACATATATATATATTTAAAGTACCAATCTTTTTTTGTCTGTTTGTGTGTTCCGACATAAATCATGAACTACTTTGGATTGGCAAAGTCGGTAGAACCATCGGAATTTTCTTAGCTTGGTTAAAAGTTCTGATCTATTTAGGTTGACTTTTTTTAGGGAAAGATGGGTTTTAAACAGGGGGCGGAAACGTCATGTGTGTGTGTCTTTACCAAAAGAGTGTGTGTAAGGTTACCGAACCAAAGGTGTGTACTGAAGGGTTATACAGTACGTATGAATCTCTGTATTTGTACAGTCTAGGACAGAACATTTGTTTATTGTTTATTTTAAAATAAGTTTAAAATGCATGTAATATATTTTTTACGCATTTAGGTTAACACTATAAAGCCAAAGTTTCATGCAAAGAACATAACTTGATAAAAGTTTACAATAAATATAGTCGTTATTCAAGCTTAATTAGAATTGACAACATTGTTCTGCAATTTCCTTGACTGTAATCATGTTGTGTGTCTGTACCAAAAGAGTGTGTGTAAGGTTTACCGTACTGGGCTGCAAAGCAGGCGACTGGCTTTCTCATGCCAGACCAGCGCCATTTCCTTTCCCTTTATTCCTATTCCCTGGTTTCTAAGCTAGTATCTTTTAATGTTGTCGGACTATCCTAAAAATAACAATAAGATAATAAAAATATTAAATCTGGATATAATAACAATGCAATTTGAATATGTTAATCTACCTTTTTACAATTTAAATTTTTTAAGTACTTTTTTATTAATCCTCCACTTTTCAATATTTTTTATTAATACTTCTTTCATTTTTTTTTATTAATCCTCCATTTTGTCTACAGCAGACGTCGTATAAATAAATACAATAAAGACGACTTTCTTTTTCAATTTTAATTTCTACCAAGGTTTTAAACAGCAAAGACACTTAAACATTTTAGCATGCGAAATAAAACAATTAAAATCGCCTCTTTGTTTACTTGTAAACTTGTAATTTCATTGTATTGATATAAACCTGTATCCTGTACNGGGTATATAGTTTCAACCAGACACTCCCTTTACAGCAGGTATCAGGGGTATATAGTTTCAACCAGACACTCCCTTTACAGCAGGTATCAGGGGTATATAGTTTCAACCAGACACTCCCTTTACAGCAGGTATCAGGGGTATATAGTTTCAACCAGACACTCCCTTTACAGCAGGTATCAAGGGTATGTAGTTTCAACCAGACACTCCCTTTACAGCAGGTATCATGGGTATAAAGAAACTCCCGGGGGAGATTGGGTGGGGGAGGAAAACTAGACTTGAAAAACTTTTCATCCTTTTTGAATTTTTTTAACCAAAAATTAATTATTTTAACCTAAAATCCATTTATTCTCACCAATAGAACTTTTAAGAATATGTTGAAGTTAGTTTTTTAAACTAATTAAACCAATTAAACCAATTAAACCAGTTTCTTTATGCACATCTTTTTGCTCGTATTTTTCCAGGGTTTTTGCGACTTAATAACTCTTTCCGGTGTACATCTTATTTGCGCAGGTTCGACCGCTGACTACAACCTTGTTGCGCCGATCCGTCAGACTGCCTCGATTTTCAAGCAACCAGTCACACTCTACAAGGATCATAAATCTAAGGTGAGGGTAGAGAGGCAAACCCCCATGAACCACACAAAATCACCTCAGAGCCGCAGATCTTGTAGAATCACCTCCGAGCCACACTGAACAACCTCATTTACAAACTTCTCTCTGAAGGCTCTTTTATTTAATTTTTACTCTTTTTTAAACCCTAAAACTTGCAACGGTGTTCAATGTTCCTTCATTACAATTACGAAAGTTACCATAATTTTCCCTATTCAAATAGAAAACCAAAGATATTATTTGAAAATTCTATGAAAGAATTCTAGAATATTTTTAAATAAATTAATAATTTTTTCATTGATTTTTTCTAGGTTAAATCTGACTTGAAGACGGTTAATAAGGAGAAGCCAAGCCAATTGTTTTGGGCTAAAAGGTGATAAATTCATTTATTTTTTTCATTTATTCTTCAAGTCTATTTATTAAGTCATTTAGTTATTTTATTCAGTCTTATGGTCTTTCAGTCTTTTAGTTGCAGTCTTTTAGTCTTTCAGTTTTTAGTCTTTCAGTCTTTTAGTCTTTCACTCTTTTAGTCTTTCACTCTTTTAGTCTTTCATTCTTTTAGTCTTTTAGTCTTTTAGTCTTTCAGTCTTTTAGTCTTTAAGTCTTTTAGTCGTTCAGTCTTTTCATCTTTCAGTCTTTTAGCCTTTCAGTCTTTTAGTCTTTTAGTCTTTTAGTCTTTCAGTCTTTTAGTAGTTCAGGCTTTAGTTAGTCTTAAGTCATTTAGCTAATTAGCCATTTGAATAAACAGTTTTACAAAAGAAAAGAAAAATATGCAAAATTATGCCCAAATAACGACATTGATTAGTACTCATTACTTAACATATTTTTCATTTCAGTTCCTTCAGAATTCTTTAACATACAAATTATTTATTCTTTTATCGAAAAGTTCTTTAGTCATTTAGTCATTTAGTTATTTATTTATAATATCAAATTATAAAGATTTATTCACAACAAAAGATATGTAAATGGTGTATATAAATTATTCATTCTTGTATTTAATAATTCTTTAGTCATTTAGTCATTTAGTCATTTAGTCATTTAGTCATTTAGTCATTTAGTCATTTAGTCATTTGGTCATTTGGTCATTTGGTCATTTAGTCATTTAGTCATTTAGTCATTTAGTCATTACATTTAGTCATTTAGTCATTCATTCATTTGGTCATTTAGCCATTCATCCTGTCAGTCTTAAGTTTTTTTTTAGTCATTTATTCATTTAGACATTTAGTAGATTAGTCCTTCAGTCATTCAGACATATAGTTTTTTTTAAGAAATACAAGGATTTTTACTCTACCGAAGGTTCTAAGGGTACTGTGGCGTGAATTAATCGTGTGACTCTAAATGAAGGGTCGCTTGAAATTACGTTTACAGTCCCTTCCATCATCCACTGTTTAGGTTAGGGAACTTGGACCCTGGACAGCTGGAGGAAAACAACCAGGGATAAACATTAATCTTGTTTTTTATACTTTTTTATAATTTTGTTTAGTATATTTTAAAATATGTTTTTCTCACCAATTTGTCAATTAATGTTCATTCAGGAGAATCAAATAAAATAATTTTGATTTGTTTTTCTTTTTTATGATTTTGATTATTTTTAAACAAATATTGTTTTCCTCCAAAAAATATTTTCAAACCCTTTTAGATTAATGTTAATTTAGGAAATCAAATGCAAGCTGACTTTGCCAAAGGTTTTTTTCTTTATTTAAAAAAATGTTTATTTTAATAATTCTGTAATTTATATTTGGAATCATTTATGACTCATGATTTATGACTCATAGCTCGCGACTCGTGAACTGTGACTTCAGACACAAGACAGATTACATGAGGCACATTACACATGACATATGGTTTGTGACTTGCGACTTGTGTATCATGATTTAAAAATTTTTTTTGTGACTTGTGACTTTTTAATTGTGACTTGGGCCTTTTGACTTATGACGCAAAGCTTGAAACTCGTGAATTGTGACTAAAGACTAGCACATGACTTATGACTTGTACCTAGTCACTCGAGTGACTCTTAACTCTTAACTCTTGACTTGTGACTCTCAACTTTTGACGTTTAACTCTTATTGAACAATCTTCAAGTTTCTTGTTGTTTAGGTTTGTTGNGAAAACTCATTATTTTCAACTGTGGTTTCTCTAGTGACTTGCGCATTAATAATGCATAAAAACAAATAGGAAATGTAATATTTAACATTTTTAAACTAGAAAAACGAGATTATCTTCCACATCACTGATCAGAATTGTGAATCAGGCATTGCCATCTTTGTCTGGAGGGTCGCTTAAACATTATGCTTACAAATTGTACCGTGTTTATATCCAGGGACTTCCTAATGAAACCAAACACAAAAAAACTAAACTTTAATTAGCTAAAGAAACATTCTACAGAGGCCGAATTTTAAGAATATAAACCGCGTCGCAATCTCGAAACACTGAATACAATTTTAAGTGAAACCAACCATGTTTGATTCGCTGAGCCGCGGCTCAAAATCTGTAAATTCGTGATCGGATTCCAGTTTACTTTATCTAAGGGGTTACCTTCAAAAGATGAGACTTCAGAGATGACTGTACGGAATTTTTACTGCCGTGTTTTCTTAAACACATGATTCTCTACAACTGTAAACTTTTTCTTTTTTTGCCAACTCATACAAAAAGCCATTAAAACACTAAATCAGACAGTAGCATTATTTAACCTTGAGATCGTCGTTTATTAAGAGTTTCTAGTCATCTTCTAAGTCCCATTTTCAGTCATCATAATAAATCAAACCTCATTTTCAAAGAGATCTTCACCTAATTCCCATGTTTTTGGGACACCCTGTAAATAAAAATTATGATATTTCAGAGTTTAATGTGAAGAGGAGAAGACTCCCCAAGGATAACCTGGTGTTGTACAGTACACACAATTCTACAGTCGTGTTTACTAAGGAGTAGGGAAAAACGACTTTTGAGGATTTTCTTGGAAATAACTTTCGGCATTTAATTGTCAACCGAGGGGAGGAAGGCCAGCCACAACAACTTCTCGTCCGAGCCACATTCTCCTCATTTTTTCGTCCGAACCACCTCGAAATCCTCGTCCTTCGACAACCCTGTGTTAAAAGTTTCTAATTCTTGTAGATACAACTATTTTTAACAAATCTGGCGACGTTAGGGCATAAAAAATGGATAAACTTAATGTATTGCAATTATTAAATCATGTTTGAATCTTTAGAAACATGAGAATGTTGTCAAACTTTATTTAGGTAAAACTTAAAACTCTTCTACCTCCCTAATGGCCAACCTTCGCGACATGCAATAAATAGCAAAATATTTTTTTCTCTTATTTGCTCAAAATATAGTGATTTTTTTATTAGCCTTTTCGGGTTACATTTCGTTTTTTATTTATCAAAATGTTTCTTTTTCTTCCTTGTTTAATGAATTCCAACATAAAATCACTCAAAAAGCTTACTTTGCCGCATTATACATGTGAATTGGTCAAACTTTACTGTACTGAACCGTACTGTAAAGTTTTGTACTGTACTGTACTTTAAAACTCATGTACCTTGAATCTCAGTATAATATAATCTCAAGTAATCAAGAATATAAAAAAAATAATTACAAACTCAAAATCAATCTGTTAAAAAAAGTAGTTTTGTTTCTTAAATATTGTAGACTTATTTAAAAGGACTGCATATGTAATTTTAAGTGACCCTAAATAAAACAAGAGGGGCATGCCTAATATACTAAGGTACCCTTTAAACCTTTATCTTATCAAAAAATAAAAAGTAATCAATTCTGATAATCAGTGTTTCGGATCCATATCATTTTGATTTGGATCCGGATCCGAGGTAACTTTTGATTCTGTGAATCGGATTTTCCTTATTAAATGTTATGCAAGGTTATAATAAGTTAAAAATGTCGTCATTACTATTATGTAAATGTAAACATTAAATTATTAAAGATAATTTTGAAAAATTTTCGTCATGTAAATAATACATTTACGAACCATTTTGATTTATTTATTCCATGGTTTTGGTTAATTTTTGGCGCTACCCGGATCCATATCAACGCTTCCTGATACGGATCCGGATCCGACCAAATGATACGGATCCGACCGGATCCGGATCCGGATCCGAAACACTGCTGATAATTTAATACTTTGTTTCAGTAAGTCACCAAGTAGGGAAACCATAATAAAAAATAATCAAATTTCTTAAAGAGAAACATGGCTAGGCTGCTAGCTCATTCATTCTTAACCAGGCACAGATCTTTTAGTGTACCACTGTAAATTGGACATACCACTGTATAGAGTGAATGATGGGTTACTTAAAAATATGTTTACAGTTCCTTGAAGCGGAAAAATAATCTTGTATTTTTATCTTAAAATTAGAAGTTTTATTAGTTCAAATTCTCAATCTCTCAAAGAATCGAAACAGAAGTCAGAACACCAGGTTTATCAAGGATTTATCCTCAAATTTAAAAGTGCTTACAATGGATATCAAGATCAAGCGTTAGAGATCAAGAAAAGTTTCAACTTCGGGTTGCAACGTTGGCTTAATCAATAAATAAAGTTTGAGCAAAACAATTACAGTAAAACCCTTCACTTCTTCAATGTAATGTTGCAGATATTTAGTTTTTTAATTAAATAATTATATGGAACTCTTATTACTGTCCCCGCATATACATTGCTTTTTATTTATTTTTTGCAAATACTGAAATTTACGTAATATAGTATAAAACTCATTGAAAAATTGTCAAGACGACATTTGATAAATTCTTCCGATGTATTCGTTACTAAGGGTTTCACTGTATTTTAACATATTTATCTACATCGACATTATTAATCAATGCAGCATCTATTTTTTACCCTCAAAGGATGAGACTTCAGAGACGACTGTACGGATATCATTCGAATGTTTTCTTACATTAATCGTTACCTGCAGATTGCCAAAAGAGAAACTTAAAACTTTAGAATAGGACTTTTAGACTCAAGTTATAACTTTAAATATGAACATGAGACACCGCAATTAATAAGTAATAATATTTGCTTTGTAACAACATCAAATGAACTCAAGTATTGCTTATAATGTCGTCTTCGTATCCCAAAGTTTTCTTGTTCTCACTGTTCAATGTACACGTATGTTAAATCAAAATAACAGATAGGACACAAGATGTCGTCTTTTCAGGAGTTAGGGATTTTTTCGTTCCCCCCTAAATCTTGAAAAGAGGACATCTAATGTCCTATCTGTTATTTAAATTAATCCATGAGTGTACAGAGTTGTTAAGTTTAATAAAATGTTTTATGTCGATGAATGAGTTTATCAAATTCAGCTGATCAAAATAAACTTATATTTTGTTCATTAAAGTCTCATCCTCTGTGGATAACAATATACAATTCTTACAATACATTCATTTTACAAATAATGCAATTTAATAATATCCACGCACACGTTTGAGGCTGTAACTATTAAATCAACAGATATAATTTAAATCCGTTTGAATGAGATCAAATTAGTTTTCCATTGGATTATGAGAAGAAGTTGATCTTTTTCAAAATTGATAGTTTCGATCACGTTATTTTAATGTTTTGCGATGTACTGTTGTGTACGGTATACGGTGTAAGTATCCCTGTGTCCGGAAACGGCTGATCCACGTGTATTCAACGGTTCTAAGAAGGCAACAACTGACGGTTCAAATATGGCGACCATATTGATATACATCTGATAGATCGTCGTTAGGAAGGTTTTAATGAACCGTAGTTGATAGGTTGCCCCACTTCCTGTCTGTTTTATCACAAAGTCAATCATCGACAGCATCTTGTGCCCGGTGTCCCGGTGATCGCCGAAAATGACCTTTCCAAGCCGTTGGATGATTTTGAACGGGAACTGGAATCCACCGATGGCCTCGTTCAGGACAAACTCGGTTATATTCTTCCCGGTGTTGAGGAGGACTCCGGGGATATGGGAGTTTGAAAACGGTGGCAGTACAGGTAGTTTGATCCAACCCTTACTCCCGTCATCTCCATCACCGCCATTTCCACCATGAGCTTGGACCGGTGGAGATATGATTAGAAAAAATATCGAGAAACACAGCAGAGGAACAAAATTCTCCATTTTGGATCCTAACGATTCAGTTTCTAGATCTATCAGTATCTTTTGTTATTTTTGGCGTCCTTATGTGTTTCTTGATGCTGCGTAGAGTTTTCTAGGTCTTAAATATTATGGCATATTTTCTCCTGCAACAGCTGGCTTTTCTATCCTGAAAAAAATTCTTCATTATCATGTAAACCAATCGAAAATAGTTTTTTGGGGGTAGAGATATGGATTATGGAGATAAAACAGTTTTACGGAAATGATTCTTAAATAAGTTCAACTTTTAGATCAATGACTTGATCCTCATAATACATTATCTTCTATAATAACTTATCTATACTTCTTAATATGAGAATAATACTGTGGTAGGCGAATATAGCAATTTAATGAAGACGACCTTTTTATTTAAGTTTTAATTGTCAACAAGCTTTTATTGAATTACAAGTTTACAAGCAATTAAAGAAAAGCTTTTTTAATTGACAGCTTCTCGCTATTTCCATGTTTTTGTGTATCCATGCTGTTTGAAAGCTTTATAAGAATTATAATTAAATTTGAAAGTCGTCTTCATTATAAAAATCGCCTACCACCGTATAATTGCCTTTCGTAAACTATTTAACAAGGTGTCGTCTTTAGTAATGTCTCGAGCGAAAGGATCAATAAATTTCTGAGATGGTTAAAACTTGAAATAAATAATTTAAATCATTATGGGAATGTCGTCTTTAAAAATATTTTTAACAATAAAAGCTATGAGGAAGAAACAGTTCAAACCTTTATTTGAAAGTGTTAACAATTTCATATATACAGGGGTAACCAAAAAGAATAGGTCTCAGAGTGGTGGACTTTGTAAGGTTTTTTTTGATGCTCTTTTTTTTGCAAACTTATTTACTTAATCTATGAAAATAAATTTTTAACTACGCAACCCAAGACAAATTTATTATTTCAATTAAATTTTTAGAAGAAAAAAAGACTTGGTACTTGGATGTTTTGATCCCTCTTTTCAAACAACATTTTTCAGTTTAAAATGGTGCATTTTAACAAAATAATAAATTACGACATTTTTTCTGGGTCAATTTATTAAAATTTAACTGTCCATAACCTTCTCAATGGGTCCTGTGATTGTCACACAAAATGTGTTTATTGTACATTTATTGTTAACAGACAGACAAGCCAACATATATACAGGGTTACCCACAAAGAATGATGCTTTAATGACGACCTAAAACTCTCTAAATTTGACGAGACTTGTGTAAAGTACAGTACAGTACAGTACAGTACAGTACAGTACAGTACAGTACAGTACAGTACAGTACAGTACAGTACAGTACAGTACAGTACAGTTTGCATTTTCTTAATAATTAGACTTTTTCCGTTGTACATCTTATTTGCGCAGGTTCGACCGCTGACTACAACCTTGTTGCGCCGATCCGTCAGACTGCCTCGATTTTCAAGCAACCAGTCACACTCTACAAGGATCATAAATCTAAGGTTAGGGTAGAGAGGCAAACCCCCATGAACCACGCAAAATCACCTCAGAGCCGCAGATCTTGTAGAATGACCTCCTAGCCACACGAAACAACCTCATTTACAAACCTCTCTCTGAAGGCTCTTTTATTTACTTTTTACTCTTTTTAAACCCTAAAACGGTGTTCCATATTCCTTCATTACAATTACGAAAGTTACCATAATTTTCCCTATTCAAATAGAAAACCAAAGATATTATTTGAAAATTCTATGAAAGAATCCTGGAATAGTTTTAAATTAAATAAATAATTTTTTCATTTATTTTTTTTTAGGTTAAATCTGACTTGAAGACGGTTAATAAGGAGAAGCCAAGCCAATTGTTTTGGGCCAAAAGGTGATAAATTCATTCATTTTTTTTCATTTATTCTTCAAGTCTATTTATTAAGTCATTTAGTTAATGTTATTCAGTCTTATAGTCTTTCAGTCTTTCAGTCTTTTAGTTTTTCAGTCTTTTAGTCTTTTAGTCTTTCAGTCTTTTAGTTGCAGTCTTTTAGTCTTTCAGTCTTTTAGTCTTTCAGTTTTTCAGTCTTTCAGTCTTTTAGTCTTTCAGTTTTTCAGTCTTTCAGTCTTTCAGTCTTTCAGTCTTTCAGTCTTTTAGTTGCAGTCTTTTAGTCTTTCAGTCTTTTAGTCTTTTGGTCTTTCAGTCTTTCAGTCTTTTATTGCAGTTTTTAGTCTTTCAGTCTTTTAGTCTTTCAGTCTTTTAGTCTTTCAGTCTTTTAGTCTTTCAGTCTTTCAATCTTTTAGTCTTTTAGTCTTAATTAGTCTTTTAGTCATTCAGTCTTTAGTCTTTAATCATTTAGCTAATTATCCATTTGAAAAAATAGTTTTACAAAAAAAAAAAATATGCAAAATTATGCACAAATAGGTGACATTGATCATTACTCATTACATAACATATTTATCATTGTCGGTTATTACGTAATTATTGAATCCTTCAACATATAAATTATTTATTCTTTTATTAAATAGTTCTTCAGTAATATGCAAAATTGCATATGCAAAATTATGCACAAATAAGCGACATTGATCATCACTCATTACATAACATATTTATTATTGTTAGTTATTACGTAATCATCGAATCCTTCAACATATAAATTATTTATTCTTTTATTTAATAGTTCTTTTGTCAATTTGTCATCTAGTTTTTTTATTTAGTCATTTA